CCTCTTTCTCTCTCTTTCTCTGTCTCTCTCTCTGTCTCTCTCTCCCCTCCCACAGGGTACTGACACGACATTGGGTTTTGGGGTTCATATACTTAAGCTACAAGGACTCCCAGCTCCTTTTGGTGCGGAGGCTGAGGTCATGGAGAAGAGCCCTCACCAGGGGAGGGAAGGGTTTCCAGTTAAAGGGGTTGGTTAAATGAAGAGCGAATTCATGCTGTCTCAGGTAGGGTCACAAAGCCCCAAGAGGCAGACGTCTCGTAACTCTCCCTTAAAACAACAGGAACAGAAAACCGCCCTTTTCCAACCACAGAGTCCAACAGAACAGCAGGAAGGGCACTAGCTGGGAGTCAGGAACCCGGGGTTTGAAGCTCACAGGAGTTCCTGGCTGTACCATTAGCCCACTGTTCACCTGTGGGTAACTCAAGGTCCTGCCCTGTCCAAGAATGGCTTTGGACGAACGTCAGAATTATCCAGTACAGAGGCCTCTCAGGAGAGAGGAGGACACTGACTGGCCCAGGGTCAAAGAGATGGTGCACAGCAGAGCCGGGCCCCCAAGCCAGCCCCTCTTTTCTTCCGAGGTGCCCTCCACCCTTCCACATCCTCCATGAGGCCTGGATGTCTTCTGGGATCTCTCCCAGGACCAGGATTTACAGCCTAGGAGATTGGTCTCAATTCCAAATAAGTGCTAGTTATCACCAAGATTTTTCTTGGGGTGGAACAAAAAAAGAGAGTTTCCAGAGCTTTCTGTGTTGTTAAAATAATATCTTTTTTTTTCTCCTAAACATACATACTCAGTATTGCTCAATAATGACTAGTAAACCACGTCTCTACTGAAAACCAACCATGGGGCAGCTAGGTGGCGCAGCGGATAGAGCCCTGGCCCTGAAGTCAGGAGGATCTGAGTTCAAATCCGGATTCAGACACTTGACACTTACCAGCTGTGTGACCCTGGGCAAGTCATTTAACCCTACTGCCTAGCTAAAAAGAAAAAAAAAGTGTGTGAAAAGCAACCCAAATGGACTAAAAATCACAGCAAGTCTAAAACAGGGGAGGAGGGAATCTTCTGATCACAGTATATCATTAGAAGGGACCCCAAAGGACATCTGGTCCAACTGAGGCCAGTCCAGAAGGGAGAAGTCCCACAGCTAATTAGTTACAAAACAAGGATTTGAATCCGGGTCCTGGGACTCCAAATCCAACATTTGTTCTAACAACATCCTGCTGCCTCTCATAATCATAGCAATTTAAAATAAAACTTCCCATGAAAAACACGTTTAGAGTTTTTAAAATCCTCAGCATAACAACATTTCTATGGTTCCTTAGGTTTACAAAGCACTTTCCCTATAGCAACCCTATAAAATAGGGAGAGGGTGCAAGGATACTGTGCCTATTTTAAAGATGAGGAAACTGAGGCCCATCCAGATGAAGTCACCTACTCACTTCAGCTCCAGTGAATGCTAGAGCCATTGGGAAGACTCCCCAACCACTGTCATCTTAAGAATAGAGAAGGGATGGGAGAAAGTTGGAATTGGTAAATTTGACGTGGCCGAGATGAGAACAGAGCTCTGACGTCTTAGCATTTGTCAGATCTCAAGAAAGAATCTTGGAGCAGGTAGGTGGTGCATTGGCTAGAGCACCAGCCCTACAGTCAGGAGGACCCGAGTTCAACTCTGTCCTCAGACATTTACTAGCTGTGTGACTATGGGAGAGAGGGAGGAAGGGAGGAAGGGAGGAAGGAAGGAAGGAAGGAAGGAAGGAAGGAAGGAAGGAAGGAAGGAAAGAGAGCAGAACATTCAGATGGGTTTATAATTGAAAATAAATAGGGTGGCTGCTTTCTTTTGGCCCTGAGGGTCTCTCTGTCCTCACAGGTGATAGCTGAAGGCATGTTGAGTTCTCTCTGCCATGGCCGTCCCATCTTCCTCAAGTGTCAGAGCCCTGTTTTCTGAGATCCTTTCAGGATCAGTAATGAGAGCTGCAGGTGCACTGGACTTGGGGTCTGGAGTTAGGTTCAAGCCAGTTCTGACGGGGTGCTTGGGTGCTTGTGCTTGTACTTGGACCCCAATTTCTCCCTAGCCTCAGAAACACTGTCTCTGACAACCACTCCCCAGCCCAAGGACACTATGCCTAGCAGTTATTCATGCATGGGCCCCTGCATGACCCTTATCTCTCTCCCTGGTGCAGCTACACAAAGCTGGGTGAGAGAGTGCTGGGCTGCTCAGGCCCCAGCCTTCAGATCATGTCTCTGGAAGCCTCTCAATTCCTTGGTAAGCTCCTATCTTGTGAGAAAGCTTTCCCTTGTTGCAGCACATTCTCTCATCAAGACAGAGGGAGAGGGGTGCCTTGCCCAGCCCAAGGACTTTTGTCCTTGGCTGGCCCAAGGACTCTTCCTCCTGCCAGACTCCCAAGATCCATACCTCTGTCATCCCCCTCCCTGTCTGGTATACTCCCTGGACTTTCTCATCCATAGCTCCCAAGGATATCTGTATCTTTAGATTACCTCATCAGTGTCCCTGGCATTCCTTTCCCATGCCCTTTTCCATATAAACCCTAGCTCCATCCTCAGTCTCTCACAGGTTCCTTAAGAATCCTTGCCCACTGAAAAGCATAACAATAAATCTTTGCCACCTTGACTTAAAGAATGCTTGAGTCTGTGAATTCGCTCCAGACGACCCTGTCCTGTCCACCAGCCTTTGAGGGGTCTCAACCTCTCAGACTGCAACATTTATGGTGCCCAACGTGGGGCTTGTCTGAAGTCTCAGGCCTTCTCCAAGTCAAGGTAAGCCTCCCCTTCCTCCCGCCCTGTAGTTGGGTCGCCCCTCAAGCACCTGGGAAGGCTTGCTGGGGCTTTCAGTCAAGCCTGCAACAGGCTCTAGCAGATTTCCCTCTTGACAAGGGATACCTTGTTGGGAACTTCTGTGGGTTTTTTCTCCCTCACCAGGATGCTGATAGAGGCGAGTAGACTACAGGAGCAAGTCCTTCTTTGGTTTTTTTTTTTTTAGGCTTAAAGGCAAAGAAGATGGGCTCTCCCTCTACACCTCGAGATTCACCCCTAGGTTATCTTTTACACAACTGGAGAAAGCTCAGTCTCCAAGACCTTAAGGAAAATTTTGCCTGGTCTCCACATGATCTGGAGAACCATGAAAAAAATTTGTCTGATTTGTGCAGGGGATTTCTGACAAGTCTCTCTGAGCTTTTGGATTCTCCCTGTCATTACCATGTATCTGTTCTGTGTTTGTCTGTGTGGTGTGGGTGAATGTCCACGTGTAATCTGACACCCTTTGCAGCCAGGTACCAAGAGTAGCATCCCAAGGCTGCAGCTGGACTCTAGAAAGCCGCTTTCTTTCTTTCCCCGCTCCCTCCCTGATTACAGCAGTCTCAGAGGAGTGGATGGATGGGAGAGAAAAAGAGAAAAATACTTTATTATTTAAGTTATATGATCGGTAAAAGACAAGTGGAGAAGCATCCTCGAAGTGTCAGGTCAGAATTAGAAATAAGATATGTGCAGTTTTAAAGGGACTTTAATCAAAGTCCATCAGAAGGAAAGGCAAAAAAGTTTAAGCATGTAGGAATGAAAGAAGTATGGGTAAAAAGAAACGCATAAGCAATTTTCATGAACAGTGTGAACAGAGCATTTGAGAGTAAAAGGTTTGGAAGCTTTTGGAAAATTGTTGGGGGAAAAAATTCTCTCTCTTTATATTCTAACTGTGGCCAAGTTTTGAATGTGGAGGGAAAGACAAGAAAGAAAAGGGGAATCTTTTCCCTTCAGATCAAAAAGAGAGGTAGCACTTAATCTTTTCTGCCTCACATAAAAGAGAAAAGTTTTGTGTACCAGAACACAACCAAAAGGTAATTTAATTCATTCTGGTAATATTTTAAATGAAATGTGATGCTCTTAATTTAATGCTTAAGTCAGAATTTATTATACTGTTTGGCACTAAGGTAAATTGGGAAAATGTATGGATCTGAAATTTGTTAACTGGATGACATTTAGCAAGTTACCTTAGTTTATCTCACACGATTGGAAGATGTCTAACACAATGCCTGGCAGAGGGCAGACACTATAAATGTTAACTACTATTATTATTAGTTCCTTAATTAGATGTGACCAGTATACAATGCCAATGGTGAAGAGATGCCCGATTTTCAATGTAAGGAAATTTGGAAATGC